ACTTTTATCTGCATAATCATATAGTTTAGGCACCCTGTCTCGTCTTAAGCTGTACTTTGTTTTCTTTACCTCTACGTATCTGACATGCTGAGCACTTATTCTAACTAAACCAAAAATAATCTTATAATCATACACATTCTGTTAACATAGAATAGCTGAGAGAAAGAGAGCCACTGTTGATCCTTGAACAACTTATCTTTAGAAGTACCTCTCATAGTAAATGTTTTCGAAATCGAAAGTTATCTTTATCGTGAAAATGAATTGTATATTGATTGACATTAGTCTTTCTAATAACAATTTTCTTTCCTTTTTATAATTTGTAATTTATCATTATTATTGATGTTTCTTGACAATAAAAAAATGAAACCAAGATGTTCATTGTAATCTTTCGTTCGAGATAATTCATTTGTTTTATTCCAATGTTGATTGAGATTTTTTAGTTTTCGTAAACGAAATTCTTCATAGAGATTTTCAATTTTTTGAACAAATTGATCAATATTTAAATCATTAGAAATATCAATCTTATTCAAAAGACGAATATTTGTTGCTAAAGTCATATTTTTACATAATAAATGAATAATATTTTCGCATTTCTGTTTATTTATTAATAAGTTATCGAAATTAGTTTGGATATTTTTCTTTTATTGTTTAAAAAATAAATTTAATTTTTCTAGGAAAAGTTTTTTATCTTTGATTAAATGATTGTACTAATGTGTTTCGATTTTGATCAAATATTTGATGAGATAAATGTCGATCGGTTCATTCAAATGATAAATCAGTGTACATTCGATTAAGTGAAATTTTTTGAAAGTATTCTTGTTGTGCAACGCATCGACTAATAACGATACAAATTTCTCATTATTTTTTGTTCGTTTAATTGATATTTTGGAATCGATTAAGGTATTAGAAATATTTTTCAAAATTGTCAAGTTGTATGTTTGATTTTCAAAATGATTAACTAAATAAGTTTGATAATCGCTTTGATCGGGAATTGAAAAATCATTTTCTTTAATAAAACTTTTCATATCGAATAAAATGAAATTTTTCATACATTCAATATTATCACAATTCCAAATTTGATCAAATTTTGATAATTTATATTTAATTAATTCGTCGTTTCCATATTCGAAACAAATTTCTTGGATGAATGAATCAATATTGAACTATTTAAGTTTATTTATTATTTTTCTGAATAGCTTTTTTTCTTGTTTTAACTTTTTTAATTGATCAAAATATGATTTCAATATGAATGGTTCATATCGTGTGTTTAGTAGGGTTTACTCTCAGTTCATCCCAAATTCGTCCGACGAAGCTTTTTTTCTCAGTTGGTCCCAAGTAATTCGTCTCGGGATTTTTTTTCTCAGTTCGTCCCATATATTTTTTTCTCAATTCGTTCCAGATATCTATGCTTGCGCCTCAAAATAAATAAAGTCACCATCGAACAGTTAGACAATACAAGGTGTGCGTACCTAGCAAAATGCGTCATGTTAGCTACTACTATCATAAATTTAAATCTCAATAAGTTAAATTGTTTTGTTCATCAAAATGTTAATTTCCACGTCTACTGAAACGGAGAAACAGTTTTGAACCATAATGGGTATAATCAATGGTGGTGTTTGGATCGAACATGTTCAAGTACAATATCATTATGTACAGACAATGTGAGAATTTTACGAAATGAATCAGCACATGCAAATCAGATACCATCAAAGTCCTCATTGATATTTGTGTTGATAATATGAAAAAACGTGCAAGAGAGGAAACACTACCTATTCCAAAATTATAATCACAAGAGGTCGTCAAGGCAAGATTGCCAGTCCTGGTCTTGCAACTAGTCGTGTGTTTCCAACACTTCCGAATATTGATGCTTCACTTTATCATCGTAGAGCGCTTAATTACCCCAAATTTCGAACAACTACCGAAGAAATCGCTTTGAATTAGGTGTCAACTATATATGAGACGAACTGAGAGAAGTGTTGATGGGGCAAACTGAGAAAAAAAACTTCGTCGGACGAATTGAGAAGTCAGTTTGGGACGAACTGAGAGGACTAGATTATAATGAATAAGTTCGAAATTGTCTGTTAATAATGAAAGATCTTCATCAAATAAATGTTGATCAGTTGTTGTTAATCAGTTGTCATTCAAATATGAAACATGAATTTGATCTGTTTGATTTTTATTAAAAATGAATGGTTGTTCCGAATTTTCAATATTAATTTTGAAAAGAATAGTTTTTCTGTCCAGTTTTAATGATACAATTTCATCGTTTATTTCCTTTATTTTCATATTTAACTTATTTATTAATGTATTTTTTTTTTGATTTATAATCTTTTATCAATTGTTCAACAATTGAATTATGTGTGTTAAATTGAATATTTTCTTTTTCATGCGTATCAACAGATAATTTCGATCGAATGAATGATTTCTTCTGTTGATGATTATCAATATCTGATGTTTTTAAAATATTATTTTCGGTTTTGGATGTAGTTGTAGGTGCTTGTAAGACTAATGCTTGTTGAGCAATTGTATAAGCATTTTTAAGTAATGAATCTGATAGTTGATGTGTTTTGATTTTTATTTCACGTTCATTTAATAATTCATTTCTTTGATCTTTTAATAAATTTATCGAGTTTGTTAAGTTATTGAAAATTCGATTTGTTTTTTCATTATTATTATTATTAACTATTTGATTGAATTCATTTTTGATTTGTTGTTCATTGGATTTTTTGTTGTTTTCACTTTTCTGACGAATTTTTCCCGAGTTTATTTGTTCACCTGCGGTTTTTTCTTGAGTGCTGTTTATTCCATCTCTTTTCTTAGGTTTGTCTTTGTAAATCAACTGGATATCAACTGAAAACCAATGCATTGTATGAACTACTCTTAGAATATATCCATTATAAGTCTTTATCTTAGCATACTTATGATACTTATGATAGACAATATCTAAACCATCCCATCATCCTTTTCCACCTTTTCCACCTTCACTAGGTTTTCCATGTTCTGCACTTATATTCGATTTATCAGTTGATTCGATTTTGTTAACAAGTTCATTATTATCATGAACAATCTTTCCATTTTCTTCTATATGAACTTTAGCAGCATGTCCACCGAATCCGTCTAAACCTGCATCGCCTCCGTTTCCACCATCTCCACCTCGTATACCTGGTTTTCCCCTTTTAAGATCATAACCAATAACAAAAAAGCCTAAGCCATGTTTTCCTGAAGCATTATCACCATCCTTTCCATCATGACCATTATCTCCATTTCCTCCATTTCTACCTTTACCACCATCACCTCCAGATGTAATCAATTTTTCTATATTTTCCTGTCCTTTGAAATGTTTATTATCAATAAAATAAATATTTCCACCATTTCCACCGATTTTTTCATCTTCACCAGGTAAACCATCCAGTCCATCTTCACCTACTATTGTTGCGTGTGATTGGTTTGAAGCACCCATCAGCACCTTTCTTTCCTGTTAAATCTATTTTTATTTTCTTATTTTGTTCATCTTCAACAAAATCAATTATATTCGAACCAATAGTCAAATTCATTCCAAACCAATGTTCATTTTTCAATGACATGTCTACAAATACATTGGTACCATAGAATCTCACGTGTTGAATATTGAATTTGTCAACTTTTGTTTGTATATTTTCAATAATTTCACTTAAGAATTTAACGATTCAAATCGAATCTTGAAGACAGATTTTAGGTTGTGTTAATGAATCTTCAATAATTAAAAGAAGTTGAATAAGAATATCATTTGTATTGTTTTCTTTTAAATATTGATAAAATTCTTGTTTTTCTTTGATATCTTTGAATTCCAAATTAATATCAAAACAGTTGGATGATATTATTTGTTTAAATTTAGTATCAAGATCATCAATTGATGAAATAATTTCATTTAATTTCTTTCTTATTTCTGATTTAGGTGAAATATTATTATAATAATTTAAACTTTGAATAATTTCTTCTTTTAACCTATTAAGTAAATTAAAATGATTTTGCTTATTATCATTTTGTTCAATTGACATATTGAATATATCTAATGCTGATTTATATCGTTCTTCGATAGTCTTCAATTGATTCACAAAATAATTCTTTAAAATTATTCAATGCATCTGTCAAATCAATAGTCGAATCTAAATCAGCAATTATTGACCAAAAATTAAAACAACATGAACGATAATCATCAGATTTCAAATAAAAAATAACTTATTCATTGAAAATTTTCAAAGATTTACATTAAATCATTGCTTGAATAAATATTTCAATGTTCTTATTTTCAAAAAGTATCTTCAAGAATATTTTTACTTATTTCAATGTCGAGAAATTTTGTACAGATTGATTTCAAATCAGTTTTAATATCATAAATTGTTAAAAAAAAAAGTTACAAACAAATAATGATTGACATGTATTGTTGTTGTATAAGAATCATTATCTTTGAATAGAATAATTGGTATTTCATTATTTTTGTAGATAAATCTGGTCGAATCAATGTGTTTCATTGATGAAAAAACATTTGAATTTTATTTTAAATTTTTCATTAAATACTTCATTAAATTGTTTCTCTTCAACTGGTTTATTTTGAAGTCTATTTTTCAAATCTTTATATTTTTCTGTTAAATCATCGTTGTAATTATTTAAATAATCTTCAATATTAGTTTCTTCGATTAAATAATAGAATAAACAAGTAAGTAATGTACCTTTGAATAAATCAAATCCAAATGTAAGAGAGTCTTTTAATTCTAATGGAAATTTTGTGACGAAATTAAATATTTGCAATAGATTAAGGGTGTCAATTGTTTTGATCACCAAATTTTCCAGCATCACATTTTTATACATATAAACATATAAATTTTAACAAAGACAATATTTTCACAGTTTTATTTACATTTATTTACAAATTTAAAGCTTTGCTAACTTTCTTCAAACAAATCGTTAACGTCATTACAATAATAGAACGGTACAATCGTCGAATGTGGCACAGTACCATCTTGGTGATCGTTACACCATTTAGGAAAATCGTAAACTGAGAAGATTTCAGGGCGATTCTTTCGACGTTCTGTTTGAACTAATGATGTTAATTTGGTTGATAATACTGGTGTAGATGGATGATCAAGTGAAACTGACGCTTCTGTTAAACCAATACCAACATATTTTGAAACTGATTGACGTACTGGAGATGGTAAACGAGATGACTGGCTTCGATCGTCACGGTTGTGAGCATCTCTAAACATTACCGTAATCG